AACTTTACCACAGAGAGTAGTTATGTAGATAAACAAAGATCATTTTCTTTCCAACCGACTAAAAATATAAATGGTTGCAGTGGCTGTGTAAGTAGGAAGTCACAGGAGGCAAGTGTCCTAGCAAGGTTTTGAATAATCAAATCTTTTGGAAATGGAGAAGGACTTGTAGTTGAAGGAAAACATCGTACATTTTCTGGGCTCTGCAAGACATGGTGGTACTTTTCTTTTTAGCCTAAAATAAGTAAGGCAACTTGAAAGTGCCAAGAACTTTAAAATTTCAGAATTTGTTCATCTTATCCCACTGTTTGCTGTTACAGTTAAATTAAGCATAATGCAGCTGAATACCACAGCTACTAGTTAATTCTCTCCAATTTTTAGATGTAGGAAAACATAGCTTGTTTTCCATAATAGTTCACGTTTTTATTTTCTTTACAGTTTGTAACGTGTGTTTCCCACAACAGTCTTAGAACATTGGTAGCACATTTATTATCATTTCAACAGTTTGACATCTGAGGAGACTGGGACTCAGATAAGTAGCATAAATTGCTCATGTCTCACACACAGCTGCCCAGTCAGGCTGGATTCAAACTCATGTTACTTGACCCCGGGTTTGATGTTAGTTCTAACCATATGAGGCAGCTTTTGAAAAAAAATCATTTGTTTATGGTTGTTGAATGTTAGAATTAGAAGGGATATCCTCCTTTTACAGATGAATGAATGGAAACTAACATCATCATCATCATCACCACTACCACAAATGTACCATTGTGAGCAAAATTTGTGGAGAAATCCAGATTGCCAAGGCCAGTCCTGACCTTAAGGTGTTGTGACTAGAAAGGAGACAGAGAAAGATGGTTGAGACAGGTTGGAAGAGCTCCCAAAGAAAGTAGTTACTCTCTCAAGTTCAAGAGGAGGTAGCTTCTCGAAGCAGGGCCTACTCAACAGGATTACCAAGCAGTGCTGAAAACAAAGTCATTGACTTTGGTCATCACAAGGACCCCTGGGAGGAAGTTTGAAATTTTGCAAATTCTTATGGCAAGAGATGGGGGCCTCTAGGAGTGCCATAGCTAATAGAGTGCTGGGCTTAGAGTCAGGATGACTCTCTTTCATGAGTTCAAATCTGGCCTCAGTCAGACACTTCCTAGCTGTGTGACTCTGGGCAAGTCACTTAACCCTGTTTGTCTCAGTTTCCTCATTAGTAAAAATGAGCTGGAGATGGAAATGGCAAACCACTCCAATATCTTTGCCAAGAAAACCCCAAATTGGATCATGATGAGTTGGACATGACTGAAAATGACTGAGCAACAACAAATGATGAGAGAAATGATAATTGAATCAGTTCTGTGATACCATCTGATTATTGGATGTTCCCTGTTGCATCAGCTAGTCTGGTTTACCTGCCCTGTGAATGGTAGTTGGTTGACAGTTGGTGGGAAGAGCTGGACCCTTCTCCACAATATTTGTTTCTTGGGTTGATGGCTATGAGGGCTGGGTTAGAAGTTGGACTGGTAGTCTAGGGGGTGCTGCCACCTCAGGGTTCTCATACTGATACCTTTATGAATGGCAATTGGCCAGCAGCCATTGCTGATGGTAAGAAAGGTGGGTTCCTTTTCCACAATGATTTTTCCTCTCAATGATGGCTGCACAACTTGGGCTGGAAGTGAGTCCAGTGGCCGGAGGGACACTGCATTCATAAGGCTCTTGTATTCATTGTCCAGGGTCATCAGGGTGCAAGGGGAGAGATGGTGGTCAGGGCGGTGATGGTGGTCTGACTTGCCTGCACTTGCTGTATCCTGTCTCTCCCTTGGGGTTAAGAGTATTTGTGTGAGATAGGGAGTCATTAATAGTAGAACAGCAGGGTTACTGAATGATGACCCTTTTCTCTTCTTGCCTGCGCTGCAGCCTTGAAGGACTGGCCAGTGTTTGAGTTCTGCTCACATATTTCCCTCCTAGTCACTGCACGGCTTCTGAGTAAGACTTGAGTCTCCTTCAGGAGAGAGGGGGAGCCCTTCTGGAGGTTTTCAAGCAGAGGCCAGGTGATCACTTAGAGGAGATTGCTGTGGTGGCATAAATGGGACAAGAGGACCTCTGAGCTCCTTTCTAAGTCTGGAATTTCTGAAAATTTGCCTGAGCATTTCAAACAGTGTTAATCAAGGCAGTTAGGTAATGTGGTACAAAGAGTTAGATCATCCGTCTGACACTTCCTTCCTATGTGACCCCAGGTCACTGAACTCTCTTAGTCTCAATTTTCTTACCTGTAAAATGGAGCTAATAATAGCACCTACTAAATGAGATAATATATGTAAAATGCTTTTCAGATCTTAAAGCGCTATCTAATTATTATCTATCCAATGGGAAAATATTTGATTTACCACAGTTTAGGTGTGTAAAAGGTTTAGTATAGGCTCCGTTGAATAAAGTGAGATGTCACTTTCATCCTCTTAGGAGTTATGCTCAGTCTAAGTGTTATCATGCTATCCTAATGGTAGAAGTCTGTCCTCATAATATGACTTATTAGGTTACTTACATTTCTGTACTATGATCAAGGACAGTTTAAATGTCAGCAGCACCTATAGCCAGATCTCCATTGTTTTCTCTTAATTGGTGGAATGGTCTTGTATCTTAGGCAAAATTATAAAATCTTCAAGCTTAAGGATCAGTAGTCCTGACTCTGAGGACAACAGTCAACAAGTATTTATTAATAATACAAACACATGTGGGAAAGACAGTCCCTGTTCCCAAAGAACTTACATTCTAATGGAAGAAGACAGCATATAAAAGGAAGGTGGAAAGAGGGTGGGGAGGAATAGTAGCTGTCTTGGGGCATGACACTCCCCCAGTGGAGGAGAGTCAGCCGTTCACCTTGGAGGGACATCTTTGGCCTGGGGAGCTTCTGCAGGGAACCAGCCAGTTAGACGGTTAGGCCTCGAGGTACTTCCAGTGTGAGAAATAGTCCAGGGGTAGAGAGAGCTTCCAGGGTGACGCACGATCTACCATATGGTAGATAGTCTGCAGGGCAGCCTGGGGAAGAGCAGAGAAGCATTAAGATGCTTGGTAGAAGCTCCAGAAAGAAGAGGAGTCAAACACTGGCATTCACCTTCTTTGACTGCTGCATCTCAGGTTGGGCGCTTAGAGAGCAGTAACCCCTTTTACCTACTGCACGTGCTGTAGGACTTAAGGAAATTGAAAGAAATGGCCAAGAAGATGTCTTCTCCCTTCATTCTTCAAAATCACGCTGCTTGCTTGCTCCTGCTCCTTATCTGCTTACCAACATCTGACTCTGGGATTCTCAAAGTGATGGATGAATTATGTGACTTTTTTGTGTGTGTGTGTGTGTGTGTGTGTGTGTGAGGCAATTGGGATTAAGTGACTTGCCCAGAATCACACAGCTAGTAAGTATTATGTGTCTGAGGCCAGATTTGAACTCAGGTCCTCCTGACTCCAGGGCCAGTGCTCTATCCACTGCTCCACCTAGTTGTCTTGTGACTTTTATTTTGAAAAAGGTTTTAGTAATTATTTATTCTCTATTTGATAAGATACTATGAAAACCAGACAGGAGTTTGGCAGAGCTTAGGTTAGATTAACTTCTTATACCACCTGCCACAGTTAAGTTCAAAATGGATGGGTGACTTTAATATTTTTAAAAAATCACTACCTGAAAAAATGTGAAGAAATTTTGATAACTAAAAAATTAAATCAAGTACATTTCACAGCTTTGGCTTAGAGGAAAATTCCTTACCAAACAAGGGGCAGAAGTGATCATGAAAGATAAAACGGATAGTTTAGATAACATAAAGGTGTACTCCTGCATGAACAGAATCAGTACAACTAGGGTAAGAAAAAAAGGGGTTAGTTGGGGGGGGGGAATCTTTGCATAAGAAAAGAGCCTAACATCCAAGATACATAAAGAGCTAAGGCAAAAATAAAACACTGAAAGCCATTTCCAGTTGGTAAGTGGTCAAAGACCATGAAGAAATAGTTCTCAAAAGAATTGCCAGCTATAAAAAAGCATATGAAAGATTGCTTTAAATCACTAATATTAGGACAAATGCAAATGACAACTCTGAGATTTCTCCTCTCATTTCACAAATTGGAAAAGGTGACACAAGATGAGAATAGTAATGTTGAAAGAGTGATAGGGAAAATACAGGTTCTCTAACACCTTATTGGTGGAGCTATGAATTGGTCCAGCCATTCTCAAAAGTGATTTGAAAGTATGCTGAGAAAGTAAGGTCCATTTGTACACCACAATATTTATAGCAATACTTTTTGTAGTAACAAAGTCCTAGAAGGCAGAGCCCATTGATTGAAGAAATGGCTAAACAAATTTTGATACATGGATGTCGTGGAATATTCCTGCGCTGTTAACCATGATGAATGTGAAGACTGGAGCAACATGGCTAGACTCGTACGCACTGAAGGAAGCAGAAGCAGGAAGACAGCGTGTGCAGCGTCGGAGAAAACAACAACAGCCGCAGAACGGAAAGCAAACTGTTGATCCCAAGTAGAGATAGGCGGTAGAGGCGGAGGACTGCGGGTACAAAGCACGACTTAGTTGGTGTGCTCATGAGTTCTCCTGAACTGCTTTTTTCCCTTCTTATTCATTGTTAAAAGGGTTGACTCTGTCTGGGAAGGAGAGAGGAAAGAATATATTGGAAAATGAATGTGAGGTAAAGACAAAAGAAAACAATACAAAAGTTTTGGAAAAGGATTATCTCCGAGTACATTAATATTCTAAGAAAAGTTGCCGTAGTACAGATTTACTTGACAGTTAAATTGTTACTTAAGAAATGAGTAGGTTGGACTAGATAATCTCTTAAGATCTTTTCTCCCTCGAGCCATTAAGCATTAAGTCAGGCAAATCTTTATTGCCTAGAATAGCACGATGTCCATAAGATGTAAGTTTGTAGTCTCTTCTTTTTTTTGTTTTTTCAAATTTTGGCTAGTTCATTTGAGAGAAACTTGTTTTCATCGTTGGTCCCATTGATTTTCTTCTCAAGGAGCCAGCTTTTGGAAGCAAACATGAAGCCCCATCTTCTCCCATTTCCGGCCAGCCCTGTGGAGACGACCAGAATGCTTCTCCTTCCAAACTTTCCAAGGAAGAGTTAATACAGAGCATGGACCGGGTGGATAGAGAAATAGCAAAGGTAGAGCAGCAGATTCTCAAACTGAAAAAGAAGCAGGTAAGCACATTTTGTGGTCTGTCATGTTGTTTGTATCGCCACTGCCGCTCAACTTTATTCCTACATTTCCTCCTTTGACATGTGGGCTGCCGCTAAGTTAATCTTCCAGAGCACAGCCTGGTTACACTGGGGTCATCAGGTACGTTTGGTAGCTCTCACCCTCCCCCCCAATTGCCACTGACGATCTCCAGCTCTACCCATCCCCAAGCAGAGCGAAATCTTTAGCCCAGTGGAATAACTGACCCTCCCCAAATAGAATGTGTGCACTCCTCTTTTTTTTTTTTTTAATGTTGCTTCCTCTGTCCATCTCTCTGCCCTCTGAAATTCTATGTTGCTCCAAAGCCCAGTTCAGATTCCTCCCAGAGCTGCCCTTGACCTTCACATGCTGTGCCTGAGCCTAGCAGAAATTGGAGGCTCTGTGAGCCCAGGAGTTGTCTCATTTGTCTTACTAACTCACGGGCCTTTGTTGATGAAGACGTAGACTTGAATGGAGGTGGGATCGCCCTGGACCCGTGACTTCATTGGTGTGGGAAGATCTGGATGAAAACATGTCTACACCTCCCCTCCCCCCTCCAGTTTTAAAGAGCTGCTAGGGGACCCTGAAATCACTGTCCTAGTGCCACACGGGATATTTCAGAGACAAGGTTTAAGCTGAGGTTTTCCTAACTTCAGATCCATTTAACTCTTCGCTACTTTATGTTGGCTCTATGTTGAACTGAATGTGAGTGGTAATCACATTGCATTAACTATGTTGTTAGTAAGTATGTGTAAGATTACTTTGGGATGTAGATGGGTGATCAGCCTGACCTAATTTATAAGTAAAATGACTTAAATCAATGAAATTGTTTTGAAAATTAGGTTCTTCTAAATGAGAGTGTTGATGCACTAGTTTCCAATGCTTTTCCCAATTTCTGTTGCTTTATTATAATGTAAACCGATGTTTTGAATTTACCTCATGATAAAGAATTGTAGGTAATGTTCAGAGTAATCTGGGATTGAAAAGCGAATGGGGAAGGTGGGCTTAAACTATACTATATTAAGAGATCATCCATGCAACAAACCAGTCTGGAACTGGTAGTGCTATATAAGTATAGCTCCTTGTGAAAAGAGATAGTTTCTCATTTGTAGTTGTATACTCAGGACTTTAGTATAGTGTATGGCACATTGTAATGATTTAATTCTTTTCATCTTAGTATAACCTTAGGCAAGTCAAGTAACCATTCCAAGGCCCATTTTCCTCATCAGTAAAATAAGAGTGTTGGACTAGATGATGTCTAAGGTCCCTTTGAGGTACAAATATATGATTTCTGGTCTTTAGGATGTAATAGGAAAAGGTAAAATTAAGGGGTATGAAGGACAGTGGAGAAAAGGAAATATGTGGAACTCAATTTGTTTTAGATAAATGTTGAATTTACTCCTATTCAAGAAATTTTGGTTCTGTTCCACATGATGAGGTGTTAGTCTGGACCAGAAGCAGAACCATGAGGGACTAGGATTTGGTCTGATTTAAGAACACGCAAACCCAGTCCCTCAGAATTTCCACAGAACTGTTCTGTCTTTCTAGGACTTTTCTCAACTTGAGATGATGACCCAGACTGACAAGTGGCTAACTCAGTCCGTAAGCATTTATTAAGAGCCAGGCAATTGGATAGGGCCTACAGATACAAAGACAGAAATGAACCAGGTCCTGTTCTCAAGCAGTTTATGTTCTGGTGGATTATATTTGATCCGAGAAGCTGTAGGGAACCACTGGAGTTTGTGTAGGTGAATCCTGTGGACAGATGAGTGCTTTTGGAAGCTCACTTTGGTAGCTGTGTGGACAGTAGTGAAGGGAGAGATTCGAGGCAGGGACACTGATTAAGAAGCTGTGAAAATGGTCCATGTGAAAGAGGTGATGTGGCCCTGACATGCGATATGTGTGTGTGTGTGTGTGTATGTATGTGTAGTCACACACAAACCGATATACACATACAAATATGTATGTACACATATGCACATATTGTTGAATTGTTTCAGTCATGTCTGACTCTTCATGACCCCATTTAGGATTTTCTTGGCAGAAATACTGGAGTGATTTGCAGTTTCCTTCTCCAGTTCATTTGACAGATGAGGAACTGAGGCAAAACAGGTTGAAGTGACTTTCCCAGGGTCACACGGCTAGTAATTATCTGAGGCCTGATTTGAACTCATGAAGTTGAGTCTTGCTGACTCCAGGCCTGGCACTCTTATCACTGCGCCACCCAGCTCCTACATACATACACACGTACATACGTACACACATACATATATGCATATATGTTTAGAAATACACACACATACGTACACACATACATATATGCATATATGTTTAGAAATACCTAGATCTAGCCAACTCATTGGTAGGTAGATGGATGAAGATTGTGGAGCTGGGGATAGTCTTGTGGTTGTGAAACTGGGAGACTGGACGCGTAGTGGTTTCCTTGCCAGAAATGAAGAAATTCCGATGAGTACCAGGTCTTCAGAGGGAGTGGGGTGGGGTGGGAGATGGTGAGATCTGTTTTGGATGTATTTAGTTTGTAATGCCTATGGGAAATTGAATGTGCAATGTTCAGTAGATAATTAATAGTGCAGGTGACTAGCATTCAAGAGAACCTCTAAGAGAGGGTATATACAGATGAGAGAATCATCTTCATGGATTGACAATTAAACCGAGGGGAGCTGATGAGGTGCCTGAGAGAATGGGGTGATGCACCCTACGTGGTTATGTGGGTATGGATGAAAAAACAGTAAAAGAAACTGAGGAGCTGGGAGGGAGGAGTAGAAGGAGGAGAGAGCGGCGCCTTGAAATCCCAAGAAGAGAGGACAGGGTGGTCTCTAGTTTCCCATGCTCTGGAGAGATCAAGAAGGATTAGAGGACTGAGCAAAGACAATGAAAAATGTCACTGGTCACTTTGGAGAGAGCAGTTTCAGTTGAGTGATAAAATCAGAAACTAGGTTGTAGAAGTTTGAGGGGCAGTGGAGGCAGTGGGTGTAGATAGGTTTTTCTAAACATTTAACTGAGAAAGGAAAGAGAGGTTTAGAACATTATCTTTTTTAGCTTTTTAGTTTTAGAGTTCAGGAGTCTTGGCTAGTTGGGAACAGTTGGATCATGTGATTCTAGAATTGGAAGGGCTCTGAGTGATGATCTAGCCTAGTCTAACTCCTAAGGCCAAAGATTTTACATGACTGCCTAAAGGTCACATGCCTAGTTAATAATTAGTCATTGTTTTCCATGGTTCATGGGACGATACTGGAGAAAATCTCACTAATAGGGATCTGTTTTTGGTTGTTTCTGAGAAGATATTTCCTAGGAGTGTCTGCATAGCCTCACGATTTAGCAAGTGACTGCTCAACTCTTGAATTTCTATAAATATCTTGATATATTATTTCCTTTCAAATAAAATTTAGCAGATGTGTTCAAAAGTGCACCTTAGTGATGACTAATGACCCTCTGTATGAAATTGTTTACCACAATTTTAGTCCCTCTCCTTTTCTGTAATTTCTAATTTCTAATTTGTAAGAACACTTCATTACTTTTCCTCATATTAATGTTCACATCTAGTTAGGCTTTGCTATGTAGACTAAAGAGTTTTCACTGCTTTACTCTTCCCCATTTCTATGTGATGAGGGCTTTCTTTATGACAGGCACTGAGTCAGTTTTATTGCCTGCCTTTGAAACCTCTTCTTCAGTTTTTCCAGCATTTGTTGAGCTTCTGCTCTTTGCTTAGCATTCTGTCAAACTCTGGGGAAGATGGAGTAAAGAGATGTTGCCAGGGTGACAGGAATTAAAGACTTTTCAGAAAGAAAGACTAAGATAGGCCTGCATATGACATAGAGAAGCACAAAACTTTTTGTACAGGTATATATCCAAATACGTTATGTTGTAATAGGGAGAGATGAGAAATAAAATATTTACTGATGTCATAGATTCTTTACAATTTTGAATAATTACTGGAGCAAGTCTCCTCCATGAAATCTTCCCAGGGGACATGAACACAATTTGGCATGAGGTAAGGATGTGTGTGATTAAAAGAATTTTGCATAGCCTATGACTGGAGGGAGTATCAAATGTTCAGATAGGCTAACACCTCGAGCTGGCCCAAGCTTAGGCATGGAGAAAGCTATAAAGGAGGGAGGAAATAGGGAGATTCCAAAGTCAGAGAAAGTATTTTAAAAAAACCCTATGTATAGATCATACATCTCAAGGCTTCTGTTCTGGAATCTTCATCTTGTGGCCTCTTCTAGTCTTGATTTTTAAAAAATATTTTACTGTTTTGTGTTATCAAATGATAACATATACAAATGAAGGTAACGTATTTAAAAACCTTAGGGTACTGTATAAATGTTAGTTATTTCTTACCTAGCATTTCCCAGTTCTCATTTTATATTTGTACTATTTATCTTGCCTACGTAATGATTGTCATTTTTATGATAGTTTAAGCACAACTATGTGATTAAAACAGAATGGTTCTTTTAAAGTTTATCCATTATTATGTTTATAAGTTGTATCACTTAAAAAAATTTTGGGCTTTATTATAGAATCATGCTTTTAGTTTGCTTTTTTGTACCTTTAAAATTTATTTAAAACCATTTTGGGGGGTGTTTATGACCTAGTTTTATGAAGAAATAACCAACCTCCTTGTTTTCTGTTTTTCTGTATGCTTTTAAAAAAAATTCTAAGGTGATTTTTACTTGAATAAAAATATCAATATACCTTCTGTGCTTATCGATTCCCATCTTACTGTCTTTTGCATTTTTTTTTGTCATTGCACAGAAAAAATGGTTCTTATTGTATTGGTGTTCATTTAATTTTTTTTTTAAAATGGTTATACAACAGAAGTAGCCAACTCTTGCTCAGTAGTCTGTTTTATCTCTAGTGACTAATTATTAGTTGGGATAACATGCTGCAGATGTTTGATTTCTTTTTCTTTTTGTTTCTTAGCAACAACTTGAAGAAGAAGCTGCTAAGCCTCCAGAGCCAGAAAAGCCTGTGTCCCCTCCTCCTGTGGAGCAGAAACACCGAAGTATTGTCCAAATTATTTATGATGAAAATCGGGTAAGCCTATGTTTGCTGGGAGTTGATTGTTGAATGTAATCTTCAGCATCGTATTAAAAACCCATTCCATTCTTGGTTTTGAGTATAGGTTGCAGTGAGCATTTAAAATGTTCAGTTTGTAAATCTTTCAGGATTCATGAACTGTCATGACTTGAACCTGACTCTGTTGAAAGCTTTTGATAGCCATCTTTTGTAAGGAAACAGGCTTCATTCTTACATGCAGTTCATATGTCATGAAATAGAAATTTGTCTGGTTGGCTTGGGGGAAATCATCTAATTACAGATTCTCGGTGGCAGTATGCATTCTCTGCTGGCCCAAGTCAAAGAGAAATCTCCCGTGGTTTAAACTCTCAGGGGATGCTTATAACATTCATTACTAATGGGCTGCAGTGTCACAGGTGGAAATTGTCTCTAAACTTTATTATAAACTTTAGAACTTATACTTGGAAATTACAAGAGACTGTGGACCTTTCAAAGCAATTTTAGCTTTCATTGCTTCATGAAATAATTTCCTTATCTCTTGTTTTCCTTGAATTAAAAATCCCCACTGGTTTGAAACAGACTGCAGTTATAATATTATTAGTATGTTGGTTTCACTTTTTTTTGTGTTCTATCATGACGAAAGCACTATTTGTGATAAAAATTAGTGTAGATAATGGTAGTCATTTGTATGCGCACAGTTGTGAAATGTGATTTTATAAGTCTTTGACCTTTTCTCCATGTTAGTCAGCTTTTAACATTTACTAAACTTATGTGAAAAGATTGTGGCTTTGTTTAGAATTCCTATATATAAAATTTACAATTTTAATCAGATGTATGCTAAAAATTAACTGTATTTCCTTAAATGCTAAATCTTACTTAGCCAAGAGCTTATAATGTTTTAAATGATAAAGGAAAAGGAATTGCTAGCTGGAGGCTATCATAAGGTATTATATAAAAGCTGTGATATTACTCAGCTGACGTGCTGTTATAAAAAGTGCAGCCATCAAAACATGTGTTCACTGTACAACACAGTTAAGGGTCACGTCTGATTAACCAGCTTAGGGGCCAAAGGGAATTAGGCTTGACTTGAAACAAGTGGAGTAATGGAGTAAAGCAGACCTAGTTCAAGATGAGAGCTTTATGACTCTTCTTTTTGACAGGGTGTTGTCTTTGATAGGTCTCTGCTGTAAATTAGTTTGATATTAGTAAATGGAGAACTGATGAGACTGTTTATATGTGCAAAGCTTCTTGGTAGGTTCATAAGCTAGCTTTGTAGCTGTTTTTGTTTTTTCAGAACCTAACCGTTTTGAAATATCTTGCATAAGAGATAAATATAAAGTTAGAAGTACTTTGTGGATATTAGAGAGTTGGTGTCCTGAAAGGCTACCATTTTACTTTTTAAGTATTTTGTGCCAAATATTATTGACTCATTATCTTCGCAAGTGTGAATGAAATATGAATATTAATGTAAATTCATCTGATGTTTAATTGGTTGTTTGATTTATAGGCATAAATCAAAAGTTAGTGAAATTCTTTCAGAAAAAAGGATTTGGTGGAAAATTTTGTTTACATTTAATTTTGGTCATAGCTGTATAGAGTAACTTTTCTTGTCATTCTGAATGTTGTGCCCAAAGGAAAAAATCTTCCCTGACTGTTTATTCTTGGACTGTAACATTATTGTATGTTGAACTACTCTTAAAATCCTAAAAGATGGAAGATTGACATAATGCATGAAATCTGTAATTAATATTAGGTCCTCTGATGGTGAAGTTGTTGACTTCCTCATTAGTAATTATTGCAAAATTATATAACTTACGGTGTACTTATTGCTTGGTATTTGCCATGAGGCTCCTCCCCCCAGTAGCCTTTAAAACCCCTATTGATCAATCCTAAATAATTGGGCACCACAAAGAAAAAAAGGAAAAAATTTAGAGGTAAGGGCTCGAAATATTAGAACATTTTCTTCTTATTCTTTTTTACTTACCTCTGCCAACTTGATAGTAGATTGGGTCTATTGCACTTAAATTATTAGTTTTTGTGTTAATGATTATAATGCTGACTTTTCTTAGCACTTTATTGTTTATTTACTCAAAAAAACCTTTATTAAGTATCTATTAAGTCATTGTGCTCAGCCCTGGCAATATATAGATATACAGGCACTCTGCTTTCTTAGAACTCATTCTAAAACAGGGAAGTCTGTGTTAAATACATTTGATTGAATTCCAGAAAGTTTATTAAGTCTTTATCTCTGTGTCAGACTCTGGGGTTACAAAGACAAAATGAAAACCAAGATGCAAGGAAGAGGGCGTTAAGTCCAGAGCATTTCATGTTGTATTTACACCAGCCATGTGTTGAAGCAGGTGATATAAATTCCTCCTTCTCTCCACCGCCACCTTCCCCATTTTATGGAATTTAAGTGTGTGCAGCTTAAGTTCCTCATAAGATGATGTGTACGTAAGGAGTTGTGTAAGAGACTTAGCTACCATCCAGTAAAATGGTTGGAACATCAAGGCTGAACATTTTAGAATCAGGCTATTCTGCAAGAAAATTCTGCTTAAGTAAGATTTAAAGTTCAGACTAGAATTCATTTGGTCTCCAAACATACCACTTTACCACAGTAATAACTAAAAACAGTCTCGTGACCTGTAATTACTTCACACAGCTGTGGACTCCAGAAGTATTCATTGGTTCTCAAGTTTCAGAATATTGTATGGTAGAAAGTAGTTATTAGAGTCAGCAGAGCAATTTCTCCAAATACCCTATTTGTTTATTTTTTTTGTATGTGTGAGTACTTTGCAAATGAATGACACTGGAACACAAGAAGGAACTATAATATGGACTTTAATTTTGCCTAAATTTGTTAGGAACTTGATATATTTACTAGCAGTTAAGCCAACAGTTTTGAGCTTGAGTCACAGAGTATCAGAGTTGGAGGGGCCCTTGGAGACCATCAAGTTCAGCTGGTGCCCAATGAGAATGTCCACTGTCGTGGGCCTGAGAAGTGCTCATGCGGCCTCTGCCTGTGAGGACCCCACTACCTCTTGCAACAGATACCACCTCCATTGGTTTAACTCTTAATTCTCTCTCTCTGGCGCCAAGCAGTACAAGTGTAAACCTTTTGCACGTGGCACCTGGTCAGATATTTCAACAGAACTATCATGTTGCTCCTCCGTCATTCCCTTGTCCTCCCAAAGGAAGGGAGAAGCTAGGCCCCCTCTACTGTGGGTTCACCATCTCTATTTTCTTCAGCCAGTTCTCCTTTGATATGATCTTGAGGCCCTTCGCCGTTCTGGTTGACTGCCTTTGTTTTTGTTTTTTTTTTAAATTAAAAAAAATTTTTTTTAATTTTACCCCCAACTACATGTAAAAACAATTTTTAACATTCTTTTTTTTTTTTAATTTTGAGTTTTTAATTCTATCCTTCCTTCCCCCTCCCTGAGATGGTAAGCAGTCTGATATAGATTATACATGTGCAGTCATGTAAAACATTTCCATATTAGTCATTTTGTACGAGAAGACTAGAAACAAAAAAAAAAATGAAAGAAGGCAAGAAAGTGAAATTCAGATGCTATTGGTTCTTTCTCTGGAGGCAGATAGCATTTTTCATGAGGAGTCCTTTGGGCCTTCCTCCTTTGAATACTCATGAATGGGATTCTGTTCATCAAGGACTTGGTTGGATTGATATTTGGGTACTATTTTTAAGGGGATTTCCTAAGCAAATAGTGTAAAATAGTATATATTCCTTTTTTCATATTTTTGTAGTGATTTTTTCCATGTTTTTATACTTCTGTTTTTCCAAATTAAATTGTATACTCCTTAAGGGCAAGGATTTATATTAATTGTATCAAAGACAGCACCTTATACCCTGTCTTGTTAATAGGTATTCAAATATTGATTTTTGTTGTGTACTAAATTAAGATTATAAGGGGGATTGTCTGCCTATTAAAGGAATTATTTTGTTTGTTTCCTTTGAAACCTTGAAACATGAATGGATATACTAACACTATTAATAGAAGGTAGATTTGTTTAGGTTTCTGATTTGTTGTGTTTTTTAATTTTTATATAGTCAATATCTCTATCTTGTAATCCTTTTTTTGTTCTAGTTATGTGTTAAAATTATAATACTTATTAAAAACAAGTCTGATTCTGTTTGATCAATGCTGAATATCTACTGTATGTTTGTTAGTATTCACTAATTCAGTCCAACTTCATTTTAGCCTGAATTAGTAAACTTTATTATATATTGGCAAATGAAACCAATATTCAGGCCAGAAATGTGTTTCAGGTTACTAGTGAGAGAAAATTCTAAAATATTTAGCACTCCTTTTAAAATTAAATTTTGCTGTTTAGCTGCTTAATTTCTATTTGCCTTTAACAATTTTCGAAGCTTTAGTTATCCAATAAACGTGGAGGGCAAAAGTAAGAATGTCCCTTCTTCTCACCAGTAGTTGATGTAGTTTTAGAATGGTAGCAGTACACAAGATGAAAAGGAAATTAATGCCATAAACTTTGGGAAGGAGGGGGAAAATTATCCCTATTTATAGACTATATGATGGTTTACCTACAAAACCCCAGAGAATCAGCAAAGAGACTAATTGAGACTTTTAGTTTCATGAAAATAACAGTGCTCAAAATAAACTAGCAAAAATGAACAGTATTTCTATGTAGCCATTTTTTAAAAAAGAAAACAGAAAGTGAAATTACTCAAAATAATAACAAAATAGAACTTACTTGATTACAAAATATTCTAGAGAATTTGTGAAGAAATGAAATAATTGGAAGGATGTTCACCAAGTTTGGGTTATGCCATTATATTAAAATTAGTGATGCTACCTAAATCATAGATATAATGCTATACCAACAGAATGTCCAAGGAGTTACTTTATATGCTACTTTATTGAAGCAAAGTAACAGAAATTCATTTGGATAAACAAGAGAATTTAAAATTTCTAGGGGTATGTGAAAAGATAATAGGAGTAAACAAGGAAATAGTATTTCCAGACCTCAGATTATATCATAAAGCAGGAACAACTAAAACTATGATGCTGGGCAAAAACTTTAAATCAGAGGAATAGACTAGGTAAGCATGAATCAGGAAAAAATGAACTCTTTTGACTTCAAGAAATCTGAGAACATAAACGTCTTGAGGAAACATGTCTTGTTTGACAAGAAGTATTGGGAACAGTAGAAAGCAATGTGGCAAAATATTAGGTTTAAACTAGCATCCCACACCATATACACAATTAAGTTTCAAATGGTTATTTGAATTAAATATGAGAGATGTTATCATTTAAAATAATTGGAGTAGAATGGATAGAGGTATTTTCCGTGACCTTGGGTGAAAATTCTGAAGCAAATGAGATATGAGATCCCTAAAGATAAAATAGATAATTTCAGTCACATAAAATTGAAAGACTTTTCTGTGGAAAAAAAATCAACACAACTACAATGAAAAGGAAGACTATTGATTTAAAAAATTTTTTGAATGAAATATCTCTAGTGATCTCAGAATTAAGATGTAAGAACTAACACAGATATTTAGGATTGAGCCATTCTCTAGTAGATAAGTGATTAGCCACATGAAAGACTATCCCAAATAACTGATAATAAATAGAAGTTCAAGTCAACACAGCTGAGATATATCCAGCAAATTGGCAAATTTGACAAAATATGAAACAGTTAATGTTGGAGGAGTGGTGGGAAAACAAGCACATGTACTTTGGTGGAATTGCAGATTGATAATCATTTTAGGAAACAATTTGGAATCATTCTAAAAAAGTGACTAAAACATCTGCCTCCTTTGACCCAGAGATATATAGCTATATATTTGTATATATGTACATATTGTTATGTACACACACATACGCACACGCACGCACACGCACATGCACATATATCATAAGGTCAAAGACAGAAAGGTCCCATATATGCCAAGATATTCATTACAGCACTTTTTATGGTAGCAAAGAACTGGAGATAAAGGTGTCATTCAGTTGGAAAATGGCTAAACAAATTGTGCTACATGGATATATTGGAATGCTACCATGTTGTAAGAAATGACAGATATGAAGATTCAGAGAAATGGAAAGAATTATGTGGATGGATATAGAATATGATAAGCCAGACCAGGAAGACATTCTGCTTAGTGCTTACAATAATGTAAACCAAAAAGACAGTCACCAAAAACACTTGAAACTGACGGTTATGGAATTAAAATGACCAGACTTGACACCAGAGAAAAAACTGCAGCTCTCCTTATTGTAGAGGACTGGGACTTTGGTTACAGATTATATATAGAATGCATATGCTATCCAAAATAGGCTGTGTGTTTGCTTTTACCGAACTATTTTTTCTCTTTCTTAATCTCTCACAGGGGGAAGGCTCTTTGGAAATAGCGAAGAGGGAAGGGATATATTTGAAAATGTAAAAGCAAAATACGTTAAAATTATCTGTGCTTTAGATAGTGATACTAGTGACAAAATGATCTATTTAATTTATTTGTTGAGAAGATATACAAATCAAAGAGAGATTAAATCTTCTTCACCCATAACACAAGGGAAGTATATTTGGAAATAAGAATTTTCTAGGATAGATATTTCAGTTATGCTTTTCAATATGTGATTATTTTGTTTATTTATAGTTATTCAATACAACAATGTTTTTATCACTTACAGAAAAAAGCCGAAGAAGCTCATAAAATTTTTGAAGGTCTTGGCCCAAAAGTTGAACTGGTAAGTGAGCCTTTGCCTTTTTCTTGTATTGTTTTCTTGTGTGCTCCTTATTCTGTTTTTGCCTTTTAAGACTTGTTCGTTTTTTCTTTTTAAAAAATTGATGCCTTTTGTCTTTATAGCACATACATTTTTAAATTAATTAATTTATTTTTAGTTTTTAACATTCACTTCCACAAGATTTTGAGTTCCAAATTTTCTCCCCGTCTCATCCCTCCCCCCACCCCAAGATGGCATGCATTCTGAATACCCCTTCCCTTAATCTGCCCTCCCTTCTATCTATCCCCTCCTTCTGTTATCCCCTTCCCCTTCAGTTTTCCTGTAGGGCAGGATAGATTTCTGTACCCCATTTCCTATATATCTTATTTCCCAGTTGCATGTGAAAACAATTTTTCTTAAACATTTGTTTTTAAAACTTTGGGTACCAAATTTTCTTCCTTCCTCCCTCCCCACCCACCCTCATTGAGAAGGCAAGCAACTCGATACAGATTATACATGTGTAGTCATGCAAAACACTTTCATAGTAGTCATGTTGTATCACATATATTTTTGAACATACTACCCCATTCCCTTTACCCAGAAAACCTTTGCTTATAACAAAATTAAAAAAAGAAAAACGAAACAATGTAGAACTTATTCTCGATATGAGTTAATTGGGCCTATGGTGGGTACTTCCACGAACTATTCTACACCTTAGTAGACAGTTATTATGAGTTGCTGGGGCTCCAAAACATTCCTCCCCTGATTCCAGCCTTCAGACAGTCAGCCTTTCCAAACTTCTTTGACGTTGATGGTCTTGCCTAAACAACCCTACTGCCATTGTAAAGACCAGCGCCTTTGCACCTTCGTAGGGCCTCAGCGTGTGCTGTTTCAGCTTACCCTTTGGTCAGCAAGGGTCCTCTTCATGCCTTCTGTGCTAAAGCAATCTAGCCAGACCTGAGTGGATCCTTAATTTATCAGTCTGGACTGATTATCTCCTCAGTGCTAGGAGCTCCTGATGTGGAACCTCCTTCTACCAATGTAGTTTGGCACCTTCCTATAATTTAGAGTCTTAGGGTGTTTCCTAGGGTACCAGAAAGTTAAATGCTTTGGCCAGGTCACATAATTAGGAAGTGTTGGTGCTAGAACATGAGCCTACGTCTTGCTGACCTCAGAGCTGGTCCATAGGCCGTGAAGCCATACTTCTTCATACTCTTTGCTCGTTGTGAATAAGAAAACTGAGGCAGGGCCTGCATATATCTTTGTGTGAGTCATGCGTGCCTGTCATCTATCCTATTTGGGAGGACGGAGTAAGAGTATTCCCAGTGGATTTTGGATTACTATATTAGGAAGGGAAAGAATCAGTGATGATGAATCTAATGGTCACCTTTAACTTTCCTTGAAATTTAAAATATCCATGAAAAAAATGTTTGATCATCAGACACAAACTCAGTTTCTGGATTTTTAAAAAAACATTCTCACTAAAAAGAGGAAAAATAAGACTAAAGATCTGGCTTTCTTTGGGCATGTGTGGAAATTAAGTTCCAGATTTCTCAGTGAGATTACACTCTAATGTCATGGAGTATATTCTGTTCCGTTCTCTGTAGACATCAGGGCAACCCTTGAGTGATTTCTTTTCTTTTTCACTTTACAGCCACTTTACAACCAGCCATCCGACACCAAAGTGTACCATGAAAACATCAAGACGTAAGTATCTCTTGATTGTGAAATCCCGTCATTTAGAGGCCACCCATAAACGCACGGCTCTGTCAGTGAGGCTCTCCTCTGTTGGTCACTGCTTGCTGTAAGATAAGATCCTAGAGGCCTTTGAGACTCGGGCCTTTGCTCTCATCTTGTTGTGTTAGCTCCCTTTGATTTCTTGGGGGTTGGGCGAGCAGCTTTCAGTTCCCCAAGACCAAAAATGACATAGACTGTGACGTAACCTGGCTGGTTTTGTAATCGCTAGTAGAGAGTGGATACTGAACCTTGAAATGGCTTACCTTGAGGCTTGAATTTTTTGCCTCCTGTTTTGTCTTTTTTTCAGTGGAGCACCTGCAAGGCGCATGATGAAGTAAGATAATGAAGCTTTTTCATTTAAGACTAGTGATGACACCGTCCCCCACCAAGCCACATCTGCCATTGCAAAGTAGAAGCGCCACGGATCATTTTATCATTATTCACAATCCTATTCTAGGGAAATCCCTTCCATGCCTCTTGCCAGCTACGGTATTTGTAGACCCTTCTGCCGTTTAACGTCCTGGCGCCTCGTGCCTTGGAAGCGTGAGGAGACTGCTCGCTCCCACAAAGTCCTTATCCGTGCTCATTGTAGGATAAGGCTTGGACGGATACCAGTTTGGGGGCTCAGAGCTTAATTGAAATGAAAACAACTTGCGTAACATAATTGTAGTGAGGTGTAGATTGTTAGGGATCTTGCTTTTTTTTTTGTTTGTTTTGTTTTTTTAATTTGTAATTTTAAGATACTTTCTGGTGAATTATTTGCTAGTGAGTTACCAAAAAAATGATATGAATTCCAATATGATGTTTTTATATATTTTATTGAATATTTTGCTAACCATAACCACAAGATATATTGTTGTTTACTAATATTGATGCTGATGGCACATTGCTGTTAATTTTTTTCGTTTTTTGCTGAGAGTACAAGTGAAACAGAAAACTCCATTGCACCCGTGAGCAAGAACTCACTCAAGAACTGGTGGCAAAGATGATTTAGCAAAGAATACATAAGAATGTGTATGAATACCAGCTGACCTGAATTCTGATCTGGAATACAGCTCGTTAAATATAAGATTCACAATACAATCCTTACACATTCTTATTGACTTCTGTGGTAGAATGCTGTTTACAGTATTAGACTGTAGAAGGAGGTTAACTCAGTTTATAATAAAATATAAAGTATTTTAAATATTTTGAATATAAAATACGAAGGGCAGCTAGGTAGCACAGTGGGTTCGGCACTGGGCTTGGAATCAGAAAGACTCATCTTTGTGAGTTCAAATCTGGCCTCAGATACTTCCTAGCTGTGTGACCATGGGCAAGTCATTTAACCCTGTTGTCCTCAGTTTCCCCATATCCAAAATGATCTGGGGAAGGAAATGACAAAATCATTTCAGTACAGTATCTTTGCCAAGAGAACCCCAAATGGGTTCACAATGAGTCAGACCCAACTAAAATGACTGAACAGCAACAACATAAAGTTGTAACAAAGAATAAATCTGTGATACATACAAAAGTAGTATCAGACAAAAATCTAGGTAACTTCTTTAAATACCTCATTTTAATTACTTTGTGTGTGCATTATGTCTCCCTCTTGTAAAAGTCCTGAGGAGTGGTTACTGTCTTCTATTTCATTTGTATTCTCTGATATATTCAGTACTCCTCTGTTTGAATGAGTTTATGATATATTTGAGTTCTTAGTAAATTACCTTTTCAGATAGTGTCTACAAATTGTGATGGATTTGCATTTATATCTGATTTATCAAGAGACTAAAATTAGATAAAATTGAATGTATGTGAAATATTTGACCTACATACAGTTAAATGTATGTTATCCATACAGTAATTGAACTTATACATAGTGTCATATACATAATTATTGTTTTTCTGTGGCAGTTACTTAGTTTATATAAAATTGGTAAAGTGTACTACAATGATTCTCTGTAGTTATTGGCTACTTTTCCTATAGTCCACTCTCAGTTATTCCTGTTGCTGCAATGGGGCAGTGACATGGTTAATCCAAGTCATTTCTGTTTTGCTTTGGGATAAATTTTCTGCACAAATTTAATCTGTACTGCTTTTGTCAGGGAAATTCACAAAACTTCAAAGTGATAAGAGAGTGCTTTTTCATATGGGCCTCCTGCTCACTTCTTTACTTTGTTTCTACTTAGTTGCTGGAAATGGACTGTTTCTTCTTAGCTACAGTGAACCACATACTATTTGTGTAAGAGAGACACTTACCTTACTCAGCTTAGCCTTCCCTGGGTGATTGAGTCAAGAGGGGGTCGTTTTCCCTTAGACCCACCCTGCCTTGCTCCTGCAGTCTCTCTTGATTTGGAGCAGACAGAGCCTGCTTATGGCAAAATAAAGGCAAAAAGGCTATGTCATGTTTAATTTGAAAGCTTGATTTTTCTGTATTTAATTGAGCAGGAATAATTGAGAATTGACTTTATTTCTATGAGCTCCTTCAGTGTGGAAGAGGAAGCCTTCTAGGCAGTTATAATTATTAAACTTACCAATTTTTCAGGATAGAAAAATAATTTTGAGATAACTTTATTATGTGAAAATTATTTTCAAGTCATCTTGACTTGATTTCTCATGTCATTAAGCTGTTTGGTGAAGACAGTAAATCAGTAATGGACTTGTATTATTTTCTCACTTTCACAAATGATATTTTCTCTTCTAGAAACCAGGTGATGAGGAAAAAACTCATCTTATTTTTTAAAAGAAGAAATCATGCAAGAAAGCAAAGGGTGAGGGCTTCTCCTTCTTGACTTAATGTCTATGAGATTTGTACAAACCTTTTTGTTTGTTTGCGTAGGCAGACACTATTCTCCGCACCATGGCCAGGAGGAACAACTGTGTGCAGAGTTGTGCTGATGAGGATGTTGACTTATATGTAATAAAAACTGCCACCAGCGTTGTGGGGGCGTAGTTTGCATATTTGTGTGTGTCATTCTTAGATTGGTGCGATATTTTATGTTCTTTTTACCCAGCCAGAATAAGACTATTGGTAAGTGGTTTTAAAAATATTTATGAAGATTGAGTGGGGTGGGCTATCCTGTGTCTCCCTAACTTTTACATTAATGGAGTACTTTTGCATAGATTTCCCTTCCTTTATTAAAAACTTGGTTATGTGACAGGTTTCCATTTGAAAGTGGCAAAAACCTTGGTTTTATTACTTGATTAGGCCTTAATTTTAACCAGCTTAATTCTTCTTGAAAGCAAGTCATAGCAAATTTTATCTCTATTTCTCAGTTTATAGTATTCTTCACATGACATTTCTTAGGCAAACAATAGTTTGTATATTTACACTTAAGATATCAAAATAAAATATTAGATATTCTTTAAGTTTAAACCAAAATGAATTTGTAGCTTTATTTTTAAGGTCCCAAATGTGGGATTTTAAGAAAAGCAGAAGCTGGGGGCAGCTGGGTGGCGCAGTGGATAGAGCTCTAGCCTTGGAGTCAGGAGAACCTGAGTTCAAATCTGGTCCCAGACACTTGACATTTAGTAGCTGTGTGACCCTGGGTAAATCACTTAACACCAATTGCCTCACCAAAAAGAAAAAAAAGAAAAAAAAACAGACCAGGAATCGATGCTTAGTAGAAGACTTCAGATAACTTCATTTGCTTCTTGTTGTTAAGTCTCAAGCCTTATAGGTAGTTTTTTTTTTTTAAAGAAATAACTTCAGAATTTTTCTTCTATTAATATGTAAAATCATTGTTATTAATAGGATAAACATTAATGCAATTATGGCAATTAAATTAATAGGGTGATATTGTATAAAGAGCTTTCGACAAGGAAGTCATAATCCATCCAGTCCCAGTTTTAGCATAACTTTCATTGGTTGATTACCTGGGACAAGTCACAGAACAATCTGCTGCCTTCATTGTCCTCATCTGTAAAACGATCTTTAAGGTCACTTCATTTCCAGTGTTCGGATTCTGACAAATTGTTTTTTCCTATTTGTAACTTGCTCGTGTGGTTTACCTGTCTTTGAAATTGAGCATGAATTTTGTGTTTTACCTTTGGAAAGCCTTTAAATCAAATTTGTTTTTGGAGGACTATTTAATAATGGGCACTTCTGATTTTTTTTGTTACAGTGTTGTCAACTGAGTATGAATTTAAAATAGTCACCTTCTCATATTAACTATTGACATACACGCAGGCCAAGTTACAGAAAAGGGGAAATGTGGTGTAGTCCGACCAGCTCTAGTTTGTGGTGGTGAGATTCCTGTGCTTTTAAAAGCTTCTTCCCTGCTACCCTTCTCTTAGGAAGATTCTACTGCCTTATCATCCAGTGCAACCCATAGTGTAGACAAGCTGAGTAAAACAAACACACACACAGAGGAATGATAATATTCTGTGACTATTTTTACCTAATTGAGTTGGGTAATGAAATCACCATTTACTTTGACCCTTTAAAACAAAGACATCACCACTGAGTGACCTGCCTGTTCAAATCCTTTTTAAAGCATAACCCCTTTGACAAAGTAACATTTGGGTGACAGATTAGGGTAATGTTATTCAAAGACTTTCAGTTATATTTTATCCATAATTAATTTCTGTTTTCCATATTTAATAGGAACAAAAAATCTGCCAGCGTTATGATCAGCTCATGGAGGCATGGGAGAAAAAAGTGGACAGAATAGAGAATAATCCTCGGAGGAAAGCTAAAGAGAGTAAAACCCGAGAATACTATGAAAAACAATTTCCAGAAATTCGAAAGCAAAGGGAACAACAAGAAAGATTTCAGAGGTAGTAATAAATGACTATAATATTTTTTCCAGTTAAAAATTTGATTGTGTCACTATTCAATGTAGTAGACTTTCTTTATCAAATTAAAGAAATTAATTACAGCTTTACTATATTTATTTAGAATCAAATAGTTGACTATCATCCATTGTTGTTATTCTTGTAAATTTTTCTCTTTGTTTATTTGACTTTGGGGGCAAATCTGAGTAGAGATGAATATTTAAAAATTGTTTTCTAGTTCTTAAACATGTAACCCTCTTTGGGAATGACGGTGAATATGGATAACAATTCCATGTGGAAAGTCTGAGTTTCCACATTATATCACTCTAACATTACCTCTAAAAAGGTTCATGGTGATGTTTATTGATTGCAAGCTATCCAGTTTAAGAAATTCTTTATTTTTGTTAGGATAATCTCTGGTTTATTTTTCCTTTTAGAAAATAAGATGCTGCTTGGTAAAGATTTTTGAATTCTTTAGTTTTTATTGTCTCTTGCAAACCAGAAATATGAAAACTCTTTTCATCCCACTTTAGTTTCTATATTGGAGAGCATTTTTTTTTAAACATTTGGCATATTTCTCAGCCTGCAATGCTACTCTTGGCTGGAAAGCAGACCAGAGGCTCCTGTCTGAAGTTTAGATGGAATCAGCAGCTGTAAAAAAAACAACCACCAACTCTAAGAATACTTTTCCAGAAGGTTCTCCCATATGTGCACTTGTTGAGCATGTGGCCTTTCAATGTTTGGATCAGCTTTTAAATAGTTACTCATTTACATGGTGATAGCCTCATGTTACCTAGCCTGCTTATTCAGTCAAGTTTTAAAGTTTTTCATGTTCAGTTTTGCGTTTTAACAGGTTATTTAAAAAAAAAAAAAAACTCCTCCAGAAATTAGCATAGTAAATTTAATGGTCACATACTTTAAAATATAAAGATCTTCTAATCTGCTTAAACTTTTCTTCTTGTGTCTAGGGTTGGGCAGAGAGGAGCTGGTCTTTCCGCCACCATTGCTCGAAGTGAGCATGAGATTTCTGAAATCATTGATGGCCTCTCTGAGCAGGAGGTGAGCCTGGCAATCAGTCTTTACCAGGGTCTCTTCTGGAGGTGTTCTGGTGCCACTTTCAGTCTTAGTGCCTAGAGAGCTAGTAATTCTTTGTGCACTATTCTGTGGATGATGGATTCTATTCTTACCGTATACTTCCTTATAAGATTAACTAGATCTTTACATCACTGGCTAGGCCTAGACTTTCTTTACAGATTTAGCACCAGAGCTAGTTCTTCATGGTTTGCACAAATCGAGAATAGTTAGGGCGAGGATAATCAGAAAAGGCAGCTAATTTAAACCCCCTCTTAATGAATTCCGTGGGATATTTGGTTGAATTTCTTTTGATACAGTTTTGTTAAAACAAGCACTTTCTATTTTATAAGGCTTGGGGGTTAAATAGCCCCTGTCCAGCTACCCTGTAATTATTTAGTAAGCAAAAAGAATATAATGTAATAATAAAGAATGTGATATAATTTGATGTAACCTCTGTAGAGAAATTATAATGGTTACGAATGAACCTTTCTTCATCCTTTCACTTCCTTTCTCTTTTAACCTTTTTCATTTCACTCTCTTTGCTTCTGAATCTTTAGATTGTTGACATTTTTTAGGGGGAGGGGGCGTAATTTAGGTGATTAGATTGTTTGACAAGTAAAGCAGTAAGGAGAGTCAAAAAGTGGTTGTGTATTATGACCAGACAGAAGAATGTTAGAGCCCGGCTCTCTTTCCTGAAGGAGTCATGGGATCTGCTTCTTCAGGTCACACAGCTGGTGTGATTGGCAAGTCACTAGCTGCTCTTACCTCAGTTTCCCCATCTGCCAATGACAAGACCTGAATCATAATTTAGAACTGGAAGGAGCCTCTGAGCCTGCCTCGTCCAACCTTCTGTATGAGAGATAAGGACATGGGCCTCGAGCGGGGAAAGACGTTTGAAAAGACCTCATGGGAGTTGGACACAGGGCCTCCACTCCAGATCTAGGGCTTTTCCCACTTGTGGCTACTATTTGTATTTTTCTTTACAGATACTTAATGGATACTTGGAGAAGAAACATAGCATGTGATTATATGAAATTGTTCCAAGTACCTCAAATGATAAAGTATTATTTATCCATGGACCATGGCAATGGGGAGTTTTTTAAAATGCAGAATCTCTTTATTATGGCATTTGTCCTTTTGGAACTTCGTCTCTATTTGTATGTGAAATGCCGTGTTTAACTGGAATTTGTATTATGGATGAGCCTGTTCAGGAATTCCCAAAACTTTAAAATGATGAGGTCGCATTCTGAAGCCCCTCTTCATGAGGACCTGAGAAGTTCGCTCTGTAGCTTCCTAGTCCTTCCTCATTCTTACATCCGCCTCTTTCCAGCCCTGCTTAAGGCAGTCATATTACTTACTGTGTAAGCATAAGCAGTATTCCTATGGAATTGATCTCTTGTTTGTGGAACTAATTCATGGAGGGTATACCTGTAGTTTTGATATAGGTGAGAAAAAAACAACCCACTACATTTTGAGTGAGATGTACATTTGCACCCTTACTCTAGTAACCTTTAGTGATCTCTGTTTCCTAATCTATAAAATGGGTTTAATAATCAAACCCGATGTCTACCTCATGGTGTCATGGGGATCAAATGGAAAAACTGTGTAAAATTGTTTAAGTATAGTAAACTACTAAATTAAATCAGCTCTTATTGTCATTATACAATCTTCCAACTGTGTGGTTACTAAACAAAGGAATAGAAGTAATTTGGATGGATCTGACAAATTTTCACTTGAAACTAGCTTAACCTCAGGGATAAAAACATCAAACTTTGTGTCAGGAGACATAGATTTGACTCCATCCTTACCCCCTGACACTTGACAGGTGTGGGATCGTGGGCAAATCACTTAACCATTCAAAACCCATAGTTTCCATTCTGCCAAAGGGCAACAGTGCCTTCATTACCCACTACCCAGGGTGCTTGTAAGAAAAGCACTTTGCAAATGTGAAAGAGCCTTTTGGGAGGTATACGAGTATTGTGTGTGTAATTTCTTATGTAGTCTTAACATTTGAGTTGGAAGGAATTAAGAAACAGTTTAATTTAAAATGTAGTATCCTAAAGTTTGCAGTCTATTTATCTGTGTTGAGGTTGTTATCTAAAGATGGCGTGCCCCAGTTAGAGCTTCTCTCAGAAGTTTTCTTTGTGTGATCTTAGTGAAGTCTCTTAATCCACTGGGGCTCCCTTTGTCTTCAAAATGAGGTTGCCAAGGTTTCTTCCAGCTCCTCTGTGCTACAGATTTACACCTTGTTATACAGAAGGGGGCGGGACCTTAGCGACCCAGTCTCATCCTAATAAAGAATGTCCTCTCCAGCCTCTCCAGTCACTGGTCGCCCAGATTTTTACTTGGAGAAATTGAGTGAGGGGGAACCTGCTGACTATGAAAGCCCGTTTTCATCAAGCTTTCATTTCTTTTTTTGGAATTGTAACTCCCCCACATTACTTGTAGTTCTGCCAAACAAAGTTAGTTTAGTCATTCTTCCACTCAACAGCCTTTCAAACACTTATGCAACTATTATATACTCACCAAATCTTTTCTCTAGGACTAACTGTCCATAGTTCTTTCAACTTCACCATACCAATTTTGCTTCCTTTGGATGCTGTCTCTTAGCAGTGTCCTCCCTAAAATGTACCACTTAGAACTGGACACTCCATTTCAAGTGTGGCCAAGATTGATCCCCTGTTAGCCTGAGGCGTTATCATAGAGCTTCTCTTAATGCTATTTTTGATTGCATTTGCTTTCTTGGCTTTCACATCATTCTGTTGACACATTTGGAGACTCTTTAAGTAAATTCCCTCAAACTTTTTTCAGGTGGACTGCACCTACTTCCTACACCTACTTTCCCCCCACGTTATACAAAGCACCAGAGACTATTATCAGATACTTAGCTGAAATCTAGGTGAGCTGGACATTCTAGAGTTTTACCAGGACTTGAGGTCAGGCTCATTGTATTGAAACTTACAGATTTTATTTTCTTCCTGGTAGAAAATTATGACATTTGCCCTTTTTCCAATGCTGCACTAATTCCTATGCTCCATCCCTTTAAGATTACCAAAAGTCTCAACAATCACATCTTTCATTTCTTTCAAGACTGGTGCTCACCTGCACTGTGCTGCTTAACTTAGAAACTGTGTATAGAATACTTGGGAGTTTGACCTGCCAAGACATGCACGGGAACCGTATAAACACAATTACAAAACACTTTTCACAAATAAAGACAGATATAAGTCATTGGAGAAATAGTCATTGCTCCATGGGCAGGCTAAACTACTCTAAACAAAATGGCAATACCACATTTTTATTGGTTAGCAGCTTCCCTTTTGCTTCCTCCTTAGAGATTTTTCTCTTTGCCTTCTGAATTAAATTCTTAGGAGATTTTTGCCCCTCCTGGCTTGACTTCTGTAGAACTTAATTTTCTGAGGTCTACATATCTATCCTCAGAACTCTCTGAAATCTGTTCACATAAAATTCTCAGTGCATATCAGAACAATCCCAACATTCCACTCTCACTTTAACGAGTTCCAAGGCCTCACATGTCCCTCCATTTCAACCCTAGAAATTAGTTCCTGTTGGTGAGAATCAGATCAAGTTCAGAATTTCCCCTTGTTATTCCCTCTACTTTCAGAAGAACAAAAGTATCATTAGGGCAAGTCAGTAAATTATTAGCTACTTTGCTTTTTGTGTGGAAGAGGAGGCTTCAATACATGTTTTGCAAACTGAACTGTTAGCTAACATTATTAGTTAACATTTATATAATGCCTGCTGTGTGCCAGGCACTGTGCTTAGCACTTTACAAATATCTCATTTGATTCTTAACCCTGGGAGGTTGGTGCTGTTATTATCTCCATTTTAGAGATAATGGAAACTGAGGCAAACAGATTAAACTAGTTTCTCAGGGTTACATAGCTAGTAAATATCTGAGGCTGGATTTGGATTCAGGTCTTCTTAACTCTAGGCCTGGTGCTCCATCCACTTGTCTTCTTGCCCCCTTGCTCCCTTGCTGCCCATCATTATCATCCCAGTCAGTATTGAATTCTTCTGAGACAGACCTATGATCTGGTTCCTCTTTCTAAATTTATTCTCTAATGATAGTATCAATAGTTTTTCCTCTCTACAGTGTTACTCAAATGCTCTTTGCCATGCACCCCCACTCTGGTGCCTGGTTTCTTCTCATGTTTATACCTTTTTAATGTACCATCATCACCCTTTCTTTTCCTTCTCTTTTCTTGTTTATTAGCTGTACTTTGTGCATTTTTGTATAGACATCTGAAGGTGTGGATTTTTTTATAGGCTATTTTGTTTTTTGAAATTTTCCCCTGTGAATTAAAATTATTTTCTTTTGGCAAATTTGAGTATCATTTTTAAAAAGTGAGCTGTATATTTAGTGTATTTAAACTATGTTCTTTGAGCACCTATTAGCATGGACAAACGTTTATATAGCACTTTTAAATTATAAAATGCTTTATATTCCTCTTTTCCTCAAGTCCTTTCAGTAGAAGCTGACTAGGATGAGCATTCTTCCCCATTTTGCAGAGATGAAAGTTGAGGCTCTGAGAGGCTAAGTGACTTTTTCAAGTTTATGTATCATCAGGAGTCTCCTACCCTAATTTTGCCCCAACATACTGCTTCCCCATAGCACTCACCCAGCTGTTCTACTGCCATTAAACTGTGTGTCTTCTCTATAGTACAATTTGAATTGCTGCTTTAAATATTATTCCAAATAAAGTACTTTTCTTTTCGTAGAACAATGAAAAACAAATGCGTCAGCTTTCTGTCATTCCACCCATGATGTTTGATGCTGAACAAAGAAGGGTGAAGTTTATCAACATGAATGGTCTCATGGAGGATCCCATGAAGGTGTATAAAGACAGACAGTTCATGAATGTTTGGACTGACCATGAAAAGGAGATCTTTAAGGAAAAGTAACTAGACTTTTAATAATTCTTTTACAAAGGACTATTGTAACTTGCACAAAACCATGCCAATGTCCCTTTATTTTGAGCAAGCATTTATTAAGTGGCTCCTGGAGATCAAAACACAAATGAGATAATCTCTGCCCTCAAGCAGCTTACATTCTATTGGGGGAATCACATCTAGGTATGTCAACAAACACAGAATATCTACAAACTAAACAGAGAGTCTTTGGGGGTGGGAGGAGAAAGGCCACCAGATTGGAGAGGATCACATGAACTGGCCCTGGAAGGGAGTGTGTGTTAGAGGCACTGAAGATAGCCTGGCCAAAGATCTGGAGATGAGAAATGGAATATTGTGTACAAGGGACAGCAGTGAGTCAGTTTGACTAGAATTTGGACTGTATGAAGGAGAATCATCTGTGATAAGTCTGGAAAAATAAGTTGGCACCAGGTTGTGAAAGGCTTTAAGTGTCAAATAGAGAAACTTATGTTTTACCTTTGAGGCAACTGGGAGACACAAGACCTTTTTGAGCAGCAAAATGACATGGCCAGAGCTGTGTATAGGAGTATCATTTTGACAACTATGTGGAGGATGAATAGGAAGGGGAGAATTTGGAGACAGATTTTACTGCCTCCAAATTCAGAGAGGTAATAAAAGGCAAATCTAGTATGGTAGATGTAAGACCAGAACAGATGTAAGAGATGTTATAGAAGTATAGTCAACAAAACTTGCTAACAGATTGGACTCGGGATGAAGAGAGTGAAAAGTTGAGGATGTCTCCATGATTGCAGATTTAGGTCTCTGGAAGAATGGTATTGTCATTCACAGACATAGGGAAGCTAGTCATTTTGGGCGATGGGGAGAGGGTTTGGGACTAAAGATGAGTTCTTTTTGGATATTCAGCTGGAGGTGTCTACTAGACAATTTGGGGGTGTGTGGCTGGAGTTGATTCTGGAGACCAAGACTGGATATATCACTTTGTCAGTTGATTGCATAGATATGATAGTTAAACCAGTAGAAGCTGATGAGGTTACCGAGACAATATGAAGAGAAAACATTGGAGGGCTTAGGATAGACCCCATGTTACCTCCATGGCATAGCCTTTGGCATATAGGTAGTGGTCCATCAAGGGAAGTGGGGCATCTGTCCATGTAGGAAAATGAGGAAGAACAAAATTATTAAAAGAATGAAGGAGAAAATATATAAGAGTGAAGTTTTGGGCAACAGGTGTCCTATGCTACAGAAGGATTAATAAAGATGACCAAGAATAGACCATTGGATTTGACAAGGGATCATTGTTAACTTGGGAAAAGGCAATTTCAGTTCTGCTGTGAGATTTCAAGATATTGAGAAATGAGTAGAAGATGAGAAAATTAAGATACTAATTGTAGACAGCTTTTTCTAGGAATTTGGCAATGAAAAGAAAGAGGTGAAGAAAAGCTCTCTCCGAGGTATAGTACAGAGGTTTCCAAGCTTTCTCCCTTCTCTTTGTGCTTAATGTTGTTGTAATTTTTTCATGGCACCATTAGGCCAAAAGAATACCCAGAAGTTCCATTTATTAAGTAAGTGATTAACTCAATAAGTATTTCTGTCCTAATAACTTTGTAGCCTTTTGAAAACATAATTCACATAAATTGAAAAGAAATTATTTCATTCTTAAATAACTGTAGTTATTTTTACTACTGGGATGTGTGTGTCTTTTGGCCAACTGCGCCACTTCTCAAACCTTGGAATCAGATTGGACACCACTACTCTCATTCCCTGTTCCATTGACTTTCACATAGTACTTTTTATCACAACAACCATCAAAACCCCAGCTTTACAAAGATATGACATTGCAAACGAGAAAGTTCAAGAAGTTACTGATAGAACCAAAAGCACAAGTAAGCCAAAACATATCTCCAACATTTGAGAACATGGAAAGGAAGTAGCCCAGCCTTGTGTTGAAATCGGGAACTACCTTGAGTTAGTAGTTTGTGTAGCGTTCAACTGATAGGTACCGCTGTTTTTTCCTTAAGAATTTAAACTGTCCCAAGCACTCCTGTGAGTTCCCTGTGGCAACGAGGTGCACAGTTTTGGAACTGCAGGGATAATGTAATAAAGTGAAGGTACTTTTTAAAGGTTGGACTAGAGTGAAGTGTGTTATAAACAGTGAAGGAGCTACTGGATGTCTTTAAGGACCATTTTATTTCCCCTAAGGATTGGCAATTGGATTCATTGCCACAGTTTATATTGACTGTAGGGTAGCAAGTACCCTCTTGCCAGTTATAATCAGTGAATGTTTGGGCATATAGGTCTTAGGAGGGAATTGGGCTAGTAGCTGATCTGTAAGGCAATTTCCATTGCTTAATCCATGATCCGATTATAAACATTTGCTGTGTAAATTTTCAAAGCCGTCAATTTAGCTGCTTAGTTTTCTTGCATGTGTGAGCAGTTTTTTGATCTTGTGTTTTAGAGTTATAGGACTTTTCGTAGTTTATGGTTGGTTTGTTGTTTGTTTTTTTTTTTTTAATCATTTCAAGGCCAGTTGACTGGATATTTCGTGTTGAAATGATAGCATCAGAGAATGTCAGGAGATAATATTCCCCCCCCAGGCCCCCCCCCCCCCAAAAAAAACCAGTCTCAAATGATTTGTTTGGTAGTGTTTGTGGGTATGTGTTTCTTTAAAGTCTTACTTTAAGAAGACTGTTAATACATTTTCCTCAATTACAGATTTGTCCAGCATCCAAAGAACTTTGGCCTTATTGCTTCCTATTTGGAAAGAAAGGTAATAAAAATTTCTCATTGAGATTTTATTATGAAGAGGTGGCAAAATTTTAACTGTTCCATGTAATATTCTTTAGGAAAAGCTTAAATAAAAATGTTTATTTACCAATTTCTCTCTTCTACAAATCTTAAAACACTATACAAATGCCATTTTATTATTATTATTATTAGCCTGCAGTAACCAGGCCTCCAGTCTGGTGATGACTTTCATTCCCTAAGCCTTCTTCCATATTCCTGCTGAACTCAAGCAACATTTATAGAGAAATACAGGAGTGTGCTGATCAGTGTTTAACAGCCAGGTTTTCATCTCTCCAAAAATGTATGCATACACACTTTTAAGATTCATCCACATTATTTACACTTAAAATTTTTGTGGTGTCTATACATTAAAAATTAACAATAGAAATGCCTCCAATAGGCGTTTGCTGGCTAATTCTGATAGAAGAATCATCATTGCTATACTACTCTAATATGACTTGCTTTTTTTTTTTTAAAACAACATATCTGTTGGAACTGGGAAGCTCAAATGCATTTTCCCAGGCATGAACTATTTACACCTATAATCGCTAAAAGGCAGCTCATCAAAAGATATTTTTAATATCAGAGACCTAAAAATGCACAAGGTTGGTGTGTGTGTGGGGGATTTTTTTTTAAATGAAAGTAAGACCTTTCAAGCTATGAAATGGACTTTTACACACTTTTTTCATAATGAAAATGAGACCCGAGTTCTCTTCAGATGGAAACAAAGAACTTGATGAGTTGTTGTGAATACCAGTGCTTGTAACTGCAAGGTAGCATTTTCAGCATCTTGTATGGTGAATTCTGACAACGTTCACTGATTTCAAAGTAGAAAATTGTAAAATCAAAAAATTGGATGGCACTCCTAAGACGACAGTATTTTTCATTTCTATAAAACAACAGTAGCAGCAGTAACAAAACTCCAAATTCTCAACCTTAGTACAAACCAGGGATGGACCAATTACATGGATAACTTGCGCTGATCTTATTTTGACGTCATGCCCCCTCTGCTTATGTTATTTTATAGAAATGATACCGTGTATGTTCTCCACTGTAGAGGAAATACTAGAATATGATACATATGGTGGTGTCCTCTTGGTCCTCTGCCAAAGCGGTTGCTAGGATAGAAAAAAATGTAACAGAGTATGGTATTGCTTCAGTGTTCATTCTTTCTCATAATTGTAAAATAATCAGAAACATTCCCACTGGATTCAGAAGGACTTTTTTTGGACTAAAAAGCTCAGTTTTAAATAAAGCATATGCAGACATAACTACTGGACTGAAATGGCCTTGTGTTCCTCTAGAAAAATTAAAAATCAAACACATTAAGAATTTCCAGTTGAAATATCACAGTTCCCTGATGTAGTGTGAGCTGTGATCACAGTTACCAAGACTGGCTTAGCATAGGGTTACTAACAATTCTTAAAGAAGGGATTGTGAGTGTATATATAATAAAGAGAATGTCAACATTTAGGAGATGGTAGGTTTGGGCTTCCTGATTTTTCTTATTTTGTGCATTGTTTATGTGATTTGGATTTTTAGAACCCTAAATACAGATTTTTTTATACTTGGGGAAAGTCTATGGAATATTTTGTGACAATTGTCTTGTGCATATGTTCCATGATCTACTTGTAAATGGAATCATTCAGAAAATTCTGTTGAAAGCATAATCAGTTGTATTTGTCGAAATCTTATCCTTTTGAAATCTGAAAAACTGACCTATTTCGTTTTAGAGTGTGCCAGACTGTGTTTTATATTATTATTTGACCAAGAAAAATGAGAATTATAAAGCCCTTGTAAGAAGAAATTACGGAAAACGCAGAGGAAGAAACCAGGTATGTGTCATTGCTGTATGTAAGAAGGTTGGTTTTGCTTTGTGGAAATGTGAAAACTGAATGCTCTAGGAATCCACATTGAATCTTAAGTTTATATACTTAATGCATGGCCTATTTTTATTAAATTAGGACAGTACCTTTATAATTTGAAATATCATTACTTCAACTTTTTTCCATTTAGAATACATTTTTGTAGTAAATTTATGGTGAAAATCAGTTAATTTGCATAGGGGTTTTTTGGGGGCAGGGGGGTTAAATATGTTGCTAATAACATAAATGATTTGTCTATTAAGAAATTATTGCTAGTACTCTTGCTAGTACGAGTAATTGGGGTTGAATGAAGGAGAGGAGAAAGAACCGTAGCATAGAAATGTTTCCCTTCTGGTCTTAGTCAGTAAAAGGGTCTGTTCAGCTGTTTTCTCGGCAGGGGTGGGGAACCTGCGGCCTCAAGGCCACATATGGTCTCTGTGAACTTGGATTCTGTCAAAGGGCCACATTTGAGGACCTAGAGGGCCAGTGGCCTCGAGGCCACAGGTTCCCCACCCCCGTGTCTCGTGCCTGCTTTTATTGCACTTCTTGGACTCTTTCTTCCTTTCAATGTTTAGGGTTATGGGCATTTTTCCTCAGTTGGTGCTTGGCTAAGTCTCTTCACCTTATGTTGGATTACTTGGTTCAAGGTCATTTTTTGCGACATTACCTTATAAATCAGGTACAAACTTTTCTCCTGTGTGATCTTTGGTCTTCTCTATAGCTTCTTCAGTGTGATACTAAATTCTTTTTTTTTTAAATTTATTTTGATTTATCAACAATCACTTCCATAGCTTTTGAATTTAAAATTTTTCTCCCCCTTCCTCTATACCACCCTCCCCAAGATGGTGCACAATCTGATATAGGCTCTACATATACATTCCTATTAAACATATTTTCACATTAGTGATGTTGTAAGTAAGAATTAGAACCAACAGGAGGCACCAGCAGAAAGAAGAAACAAAACTCAACAGAAGAGAGAAAAAAAATAACAAATAGTATGCTTCGATCTGCATTCAAACTCCATAGTTCTTTCTTTGGATGTGGATAGCATTTTCCATCACGAGGCCTTTGGAGATGTGCTAGATCCTTGTATTGCTGGAGAGGGTTAAGTTTATCAGTATTAGTCATCGCACAACATGGCTGTTATCATGTACAACGTTCTCCTGGTTCTGCTCACTTCACTCAGCATCAGACCTTACAAGTCTTTCCAGGTTTTTCTGAAGCCTGTCTGCTCATCATTTTTTATAGCACAATAATATTCCATTACATTCATATACCACAACTTGTTCAGCCATTCCCCCATTGATGGGTGTCATCTCAATTTCCAATTCTTTGCCATCACAAAAAGAGCTGCTATAAATATTTTTGTACATGTGGGTCCTTTTCCCATTTGTATGATCTCTTCGGGATATAGCCCTAGAGGTGCTATTGCTGGGTCAAAGGGGATACTAAATTCTTAAGGAAACTTTGAATTTAATACATTCTCACATACAGAAAGATCTTTTAATGGAAATGCTTGATATTATGTTGGAAGTGACACTTAGCTGGTCTTACTGACATTCTAAACATCTTTTTCTAGTATTCTATGGAAAATCCATATTTTCCTCACAATTAATGTGTTTTAGAGAGCAGAAAGTCATAGTTATCTGCCGGCTAACAATCTGAAATTTACTAGTGAGGAATAAAATTGTCTCCTCTCTGTTTAACACACTAGGTCAGTGAGAATGAACTTGGAAGCACCAAGTGTCTTTGCCAAAAAGAAGAGTTTGCTCTTTGAGTCTTGGTTTCTTTTTGGTTTTTTTTTGCTAGACAGTGGGGTTAAATGACTTGCCCAGGGTCACACAGTTAGTAAGTGTTATGTGTCTGAGGTCGATTTGAACTCAGGTCCTCCTGAATGCAAGGCTGGTGCTCTATCCACTGCACCACCTAGCTGCCCCTCTTTGAGTCCTGTTGAAGATCACTAACTGTAGCACAGGAATCGGTGAGAACTTGAAGGACAGTGGCAAACTTTAGGGGAAAGAAAAGATTGAGGGTATCAGAGAAACTTGTGTGACGACCTGGCTGGCTGCTCAGTGACCAAGTGGTGAAGGCACCAAAGTCTCTGCTAGGAAGTCACTTTGTTGGCTGTGCTATAAGCCAGAGGTGAGTGAGAGCAAAACTCACGGATGTGGGGAGCAGTCCTTTGAGATCAGTGACCGTATACAGGAGGGAGGGAACCATCCAGAGTTAAGATTTTTAAACTTTGAGAAACAATAGAATTACTCTGCTGTTATGTGAAATAGTATTTTTAGTAGAAAACAATTATACACCAAACAGTGAAAAAACCTACCACTGTCCTTTGGGGTCAGCAGTAGACATTCCTTTTTTTCCTGAGTTGTTTGTTTATCAGATGTTTGTAAATCTAGTCATTTAAGGCAGGTAAGGGGCAGGTAGTACCCCCCAATCTTTAGGAATCTGGTGGCAGCCCTCCCCTTTATTTTTTAACAAAGCAAAATCCTATTCTTATCCAGCCCCAGTGTGTGTTTTGTGATTCTGAGTTTACAGACTGTGGTACCTCTCTGCGGTGGCACTGCTGATTTTGTTCTCTTTTTTCTAACCTGCACAATTAGAACATCGAACTAGATGATCTTTTAGCTCTAACATTTTATAAGCTTGGGAAGATGCTACTAACACTCACATGATATTCAATGAGGTATATGTTGTAAGATTGTCTTTCATTAACAGTAAAGTTACTTTGAATTTTCTGTTCTCTCCACTTTTCTTTGTGACCTGTGGTATATATTTTTGTAGTGACTGGCCAGTGCTAAAGAATTAATGAGATGATTGTAGAATATAGTTTTTGTCTGACCTTATTTGTCCTAACTGCCCTCTGTTTAGGCAGTGGGTGAAATAAACACCCAAACATGAAGCATCTCCAACCTGTTGCGCAGCTTTCTCAGCCCTGGTCTGACCCCATGTCTCTAACCACTCATTTCCTAGAGTGAGGACTTTGACCTCACAAAGGAATGCCAGTGTGATGTGTTGAGTGGGTGGATGGTTCAGAAATTGTGTAGTCCTTGAAAAAGCTTTCCAGTGGAGCGGGCAGAGACAACCAAATGACGTTTGGAATGGTTGCCCTGATCTGTTTCTTCCTGGTGTATGTTGGGTTTGACAAAGACAAGCAGCATGCTAATCAGAACAAGGGTGTATAAAACAAACAGACAAAAAATAAATTTAGGCAGGATGACAAAAAAAAAATTCGGAAAGGAATTCTCCTGGCTATCTCTCTTAGTTGCACTTTTGTAGCTGGAGGGGGCACGCACATTGAGACACTCCTTTTGTCTGTCTGCTGCATTTCTGATTTCTGTCGTGTGTGTGCCCATGTTGGTAGTGAAGTAGGAAACGCTTCTGCTTTCTCTCTAACTCTGATCTCCTCCTTAGCAGAGTGACACCACAAGCTCCATTGTGTTGGCCATTTGTAAATCCTTACATTTTGGTAATTCAGACATTCTTCATCTAGTGCCTTTTTGAGGGAGAACACCATCTGTTAGAAAGAGCATTTAGGGTTAGAGTTCAGAGGTTGAGATTCCAATCCTGCCTAACACTTATGGACAAGGTACTTTACCCCCTCTAAGCCTCGGTTTCTTCATCTACAAAATGGATATTGTTGTACCTGTAGTACCTATGTCGGGCTTGTCTTGAAGTTTGAATGAGTGTTAAGAAAATGTTTCATAAACTTTATAAGCTTCATATCAGTGTCAGCTCTTATTGGAAACAACCTGTTATTAATTAGACAGTGGCGATAGACCAATTGAGTAAATTCCTAAGGCTGGTATCAGAGGCATATGAATGACATTCATTTTCCTATTGTATTGGACCTTAGAAGAAGAGGACTTGATGAGATCATTCCTCTGTGAGGTGAATTGAGGAGACTCAAAATTGTCACTCAGTTACACCTAATAGAAGCAGTTTAGCCACTAGATGTATTCAGTAACAGATGTGATGCAATTGCTATGCTGGGATCATTTTAACTACAATCTATCCTCAGCCAACTGTCCATGTTGTTGTCAACCTTGAAATTGGCAAACACTCTGCTTTATTGCTTATTTTGGTAGTATGACTTTTATTCCTGCTTTGCAGATTGCACTCCAGGGGGAAAATGGTATTTTGAAACTCTCGGACTTAATCTTCTAGGGGTGATTTGAGAAAGTTGTGACGGTCAGGCCCTGAATCAGTGAGAGGAATGAACTGGCAGATTCTTGGTTTGTGTGGCAGGCATCATAAACTGGTAGAGAGTAAATTAGGGAAATGAGATAGCTTTGATATTTTTCTTGGATTAGGGCTGTGGGACACTTTTGACTTACAGAGAAACCTTTAAATTGTCTGGTTCTTTAGAACAGAGTTTTTGATTGTCTGGTCTTTTAAATTATTTTTGCTATTTTTTCCTTCAGTTTATTAGTAAAGATAATTTTGTCAATAAAGCTGCAGAATGTGACAATTACCAAAGCTGATTTTAAGTTTGATCTTAAGTTATGAGTTGGTCCTGGTATAATTTCGTATAAACAGACCATGAAGAACCAACACATGCCCCTATGCTTATATCTGGCCACTTAAATTCTCATTCTGGCTCCCTTGTTTGTCTCTCTGCTGCTGTGGTGGGTGCCCAGAATCCTGCCTCCCCCTCCAGTGCTCCTGGGGACTCTCATCCTCCTCTCTCCTTGATAGTTCTCAAAGAGACTGACATCTTCTTCCCTTTTCCATTTCCTTTTCTGTTGCCACTGGAAAGAACCTCAGGAGATGCACTCTCTCAGCAGATGCAAGACAGTCCTCACTCTGTGTGCCGAGAAGGGATCTAGAGGGCACAACATTTTTCCACAGAAACAGATAGTACCAATAGTTAGCTACAGTTGAGTTTATGAGCTTTGGTATTCTGACCATCCACTCTACTCTCTACTCTAACAAGTTCATACCAACCTTAAGGAATGATTGTC